CTGGGAGGCCGCTGTTGCCCAGTGTCTCTGGTTCTTAAGTCAACACGATGCCTAAGCTGATGTTATGGCTTATCAAAAAGTGACACCTAGATGAAAATGAAAAAAAATAGCCATACAGAAGAAGTTTGATATGATATTTCGCGTTTTTCCATCATAATAATTGTAAATAAAACAATTTATATGTATTTATACTTTAACTGACTTCGATTATGACAACCCAAATAAGCAGGTGAATACCGAATTATTTTTTTATCGTAAAATTGAAATCTTAATATACTCAAATGCATTCTAGGGTTTAGATTCTAGTTCAATTTTCTTCTGGTATGAAATATAGGAAACGCTAAAAGTATATCGACGATTTAAAAAATCCTGTTACTAATCATTTGTATTATAGCATTCAAAAAACAACAAGCCTACAATTGAAAATTTGATAATTTTGTTGAAAGCAATTTCTGAAAATATGTATCAGTAAGAACACAATAATCGCCAGGGAGCAAACAAACGGAATAATCGATACCTCCGCGTAACAGACTGTCAACGCCACCGAATGCACTCAAACTCACCCAGCTACGAGCTTCTAGAATACATCCTCTCATCTCTTGCCAGCCGCGGTTAAGCCGCTCATCTCCCATTTGGACAAGCATGAGCTACACAGCTTAATCGCAGCTTGCGAGAGAGGGTCTGATGTATTCTGGCAGCGCGTAGCTGAGCAAGTTTACGTACTCTCGGTGGCGCTGACCAGCTATTACGCGGTGGTATCGTAATACGGTCATATGCAGAGTAGCAGACTATTGTATTTGTATTTTTAGTTATGTGTATGATCACAATAGTTCCTCAATTTGGACTTGAAAAGAAGTTTTGGGATCGTTTCATTTCTGCTGCCGCATTTCGATATAACATACCTACGTGTTTCTCTCTCTCTCTCTCTCTCTGTGTTTATCTACCTCTCTCGTACACATTAAATACGTGACCTCAACGATTCTCAGCCATTTCTTCATAAAAAAGCTTTGGCCTATTTTGAGTATTTTCTGTTCATTCGAAAATATTGCTTTCTGTGATTTTTACCGCATCGAGTATTTTTTCATATATTTTATCCTATGCTTTACGTGCTTCGTTTATGAATATATCCATAAATCTAACGTGATTGGGTTAGTGCATATCTGGTATAACGAACTGCAAATGATTGTGATTATGTGCTTTTTGTGAAAAAATCAGGGATCTATGCATTCCATTTAAGCATATCTAGTCATGTTTACATATGATGTTTGTATAATTTGATTTATGTACATATATGACTAATAGGAAACAGTACCCAAATACATTTTGTGAGAATCCATGCATCTCGAACATATTTGTAGCAATGCTGAAATCACCAAAACTATTTTACCATTTTCAAGTTTGCCTTGTGATTTTAATTTAATGAGTTTATACTTTCAGAGAAAAAGTGTATGTCCAAACTTTTCGCAGCATTTATTAGAAAAAGTCCTTTCGTTTGCGGATCCGTTCGTATTGACTGCAATAAGTGATAGACGATAGAGATTTCAAATTCTGCTCATCGAAGCTTTTTGGAAAATTGGGCGGGCTGAAGTGCTATATGCTGTAGAAGTAAAAAAAACAACGTAAAAAACGACGCCCAAGGAACTTGTGAGAATTATATTTTAATTTAAACCGTTCCAGTGGCGTAGATCGTTCAAGCTAGTGCTAATAATGCATGCTATCCAAATAAAACCTTTTGCAACAATGCTTAACGTTTACGTGTAATAATTGAGACTAAGGCTTAGGCCGCACTATGGCTTTTTCCCGCACACACTACAGTCAAAAGCCGCGAAACTGGACACGATTTTCACAGTTTGAAGATGAATTTCAAGAGAGCTATATGTGTTGTTGCTCTAATACTAAGAACCAGAATACGAAAACGTCATCAAAAGTTTTGCAAATATTGGGTCCATCCATTGGCTAGCCGAAGATTTAAGGTATCTTTCATAAAAAGTATCAAGATTTAAGAAAACATCCTGAGAAATGTTTCAATTACTATCGGAACGGAAACGAGGACCAGCGCTTATATCAACGACATCTCATCCTAACACTTTTGACACTGTGTTGCTAGATGTGCGATTACTGGGGAAAGGTAAAAACGCAGTTTTTCTGTCGTCACACGATCACAAGAACATTCGCTCCCAGAAATTCGCCCACCTCAGAATGTCCCACTGGATGTGCCTCCTGTGAATGAACTTATATTTTCTTTCAGATTACACGTGTCTAGCAACCCCCCACCCTTACCTCCCATTTTCAATGAATTGTTTATTCTTATTATTTGGTTAACTTTTACTGGCGCTATGTCTGTTCTAATATGGTTCAGTGTTTCCCATATCGACCACTCCAGGTCAGTGCCGCTGGGCATCTCTTGGATAAGCCGGTAGCTGGTAAGTGGACGGTCCAGAGTCAAATCCATTAATCATCTACAGAATTTAAGTATCTATATCTTTGATTTGCATTGAACTCCGTACAGAGAATGGCGCTCATCAATAGTTTGTTCAGGCCTTTCTATAAAGTATTACGCCTTTTTTAGAGGGGGGGGGGGATCATACAGCTTGTTACATTACTTCTGTGGTTAATTAACCAATTATGATATTGGATAAGAAAAAAAATAGCCTCCAGAGCAAGGAAGTCCCTCTAAGACATAGTTGCTTTCACGAGAAAGAAGAAATCAGAGGGGTTAGGACCTCTATACCTTCTGGAAAAACAGTTACAACTGTCGTGGGAAGTCAAATACCTGGGGGTAATACTAGACTCCAAACTAACCTGGAACCCGCAGATTAAACGCTCTTACGGCAAAACATGGAGATGCAGTGGGCGTAAATAATATTGATAATGCCCATGATGACATGCATATCTGCTTCTTCATGACGGTGTTCCGAAGAATGACAGTACCGCGCGCGGTTGCCGCGTCAAATGTGTGTGCGCCAATATAAGTTCTATGAACTACAAATTTTGGCGCGGTTGTTTCCTGCTAGCCATTCTGTAACAAATCTCGATTTTAAAATCAGTCGCGGGAAAAAACCGTCAGTGCGGCCGCTTCCATTAGTTTATTTTACAAAATCAGGCGGCCTGAGCCTTAAGTGCAAAAGGAAACACAACACTCTACTTCATCCGAATCATAAACATAACTAAATATTCTAAGGAACTCTGTGAAATGTCCATAGAATTCTCACAAATGAAACTATTTCACGCTCTTGAAACATATGTTAACGTGTAGTATCTGTATCCCGTAGTGTCATAGTTTTGGTGTAATGGCAACGCTGGCATATTTTCTGGTGATCCAAGTGCAACAGCTACAGAAAAATGACTAGCCAATATAATACCTGGATCATAAGCCATTTAATCCCACAACTATGTATAGAAACCTTAGCTTTAACACACATTGCATAAAAATCTTTCAACGCAAAATAAAGAGCTCTATTTTAAACAAGAACCAATCAGTTCTTAAATTTCTCACCGATGTGCAACTTGAACTATAGAAAAATATGCTTGACGGAGAATGACGTATAGAAGGAAGAAAATATGCCAGATTAGAAGTCCTCAGCGTGATTAATTTTAAGCTATGACGACCGTCTACTATGTGTTCGTTGTCATTTCGTTCCAATATTGATTTATTGTCGAGCAAATATATTTTCAGGCTTGATTCAGTTTATTCTAAGTATCTAGATGATGTTGATGCGAAGGCTTTATAGTCTATCTTATAATCAGGTTTGAAGCATCCACACTAAATATGAAGCAAAAGAAAATAATGACTATTCAGCTGATATCTCTAGGTTAAAAAAGCTTAACATTCTAGCAAAAAACACTTTGTGTTTTAACTATGGAGGTACTGTTCCTACCGAATTATTGACTTGAAGCTATAATTGTATCCTAAGTCATATACAACATACAGTCCTGCTATGAACAACTTGCACAAAAATGTTGACGATACCATTGCTAGTGTAGTAGTTTCACGAAACATGTGTATCTGTATCAGAGTATCGTCTAGTCCAAAATCCCATTACTGCCAGACCTACTTTATTTTCTGGAAGACAAAACGTAGGGCATTTATTACCAATTATATGTATTTTGAATGCCTGCTTATCTGCCAATTTTGGTAAATGGCCAGATACCAGGTGAGAAAGGTCAGTAAAAAAATAGGATCAACTTCGTAAAACATTATTATAGCCTGATATCCAGCACTGCCAGACACTTCCCGCAGGCTATAGCCTCAGCCAGATACCTTAAAGCTTCAAACATCATGCGACGCTTACTTTTCTCTGACTTACTAGACTAGATAGAGGTCAGTAGTCTGGCAATACTCCATATCACTCAACAATGATGTTTTACAAAGTAGAAAAATCACTCGTCAGCGCTTAAGTCAGGTTACTCCTATTTTTACTTGATTTTCTCACCTGGAATCTGTAAGTGGGCCATCAGCCCTACTTGGCGAGTACGCAGGCATCGAAAATATATCAATGCCCCATGATTTATCTTTCAGAAAATAAGGTTTGTCTGGGATCTTACTCTAATCTTTATCAGAATAACGAATTATCACATTAAAAATTGTTCAAATATTGTACATGTCTGCCTGTCGCTCAAATTGAAGATGATACACAATTTATATACCATAAAAAGTTGTATACAGATCTTATATAACATTATTTCCAAAGTATCACTATGTAGGTGTAATGGTTCGTGTTTTGTTGGTATTCAATGTGGAATTGATTCTGCAGTATATCAACTTTTTTTGCAAGTTATATAAACTATACTAGGGACTGTACATCTATACTATAGTTACCTGGAGCTTGTATAAAATGTTGCAATTTAGAGCTGACTAGAAATAAACGTCTTATCTATATATACCAAATTAGCAATAAACAGCTAAATATATCCTATTGCTATGTTCAAAAAGCTCGGCGACTGGTCTATTTAGTCTCCTAGTACTTTAGGGAAATAAACATACTCCTTTATTTACTTACATTGGTGTACCTGTACTGAGAATGCCAAGATTACAAAATAAGTTACTTTTTATATTTATTGACATAGAATGAAAATGAGAGAGAGTGGAGACTACTATTGGATCACATGTTTGACGTGTTGGTAACAAAAGTCTGGAAAGGTCTACCAAATACTACGACGCAACAACATATGGCTTTGAACTCTTTTCGTTTTTAATTATTCTTTTCATTTTCCCACAGTCCTCTGTGGTGCATGCATCAAACGTATGCTCCTGCCTTTACATGTAAGTCAATCCCGTACTAGTTTAACTTCACGTGGAACGTAAAGGTGACGTAAAATGTGTTAAGACAATACGAACAAAAAAGAACTAACAATTGTGTTGATAATGGGTATATCTAGGTATAGTTGTGCGAAATTCAACAACTGGATAGAAAGTATCTCCAAGAATTTACATCAATATACATCTTTGGAGCAAAGTTTCACAATATACGACATTCGATGAACTGTATTTGGTTTTGTAAGCTTTATCGATCTATGCTCTGTCAATCTAGTAGTAAGAATACGTTAGAATCTTACTACGTTCTTAGTTTTTCAATCATCTCCTCGGATGGTGTTTAGTATTAGTGTTGTTCAACTGTAAAAAGACTGTGCGAACTCAACATGAATCATTGTATTTTTGAAACATTAAAGTAATACAGTATATAGTGTGCTTTGTATTGCACAACATTCGTATGTGACCCTAATCGAATTTGCTCATGTATCTCACGACTACTTCATGTATACAATTTCCAGACCTTTGAAACGCTTTGTGATTTCACTGACCAAATCAAGTGATGATCAATAAAAGTTATAATGTAATGTGAAGGAATGACAGCAGCGAGAAAATAGTCATCATAGTTTGTACCTATGTGGTTGATGTGAACTTCTACAGCTGAATAATATGGTTCTACGTACTTTTTGAACATTTTGTGAAACTGTGCAATACCGACAGCGGCTTGGTAACGTTCAATCGTAGCTGATATAGATACATCTTTGATTGCCATCAAAAATTTATTTAGCAGTGCTTTTGTAGGAATGCTTGACATTATACTCACAGTTTAGAGCAACAATAATTACAAGATATTATCCGATGTTAGGGAAAATTTATACAAGCAGCAGTCACGTAATGTGTTACAAGTTTAAATGTCCTGAAAAAGTGCTGAAAGACTGGTCTAAACTTATCATTTGGTTAAACAGGCTTGCTTCAAGAGCAGGGAATTAGATGAGTTGGAGAAATTAATTTGATCACACATGTTTTGTATGAAAAATTAACAACTCTACCACGTTGGTGCAAGAAAATTCAGAAGCTTTAAGTGGATTGAATGTTACCAATTCTGTACGTGAATAGAACATCGACATCGAAGCATACACAGGCATCGTACCTGTTTCGCCTTCAGGGCCATCGTCTTCTTGTGCTTCTGCCATTTCGGCCAATTCGTTCAACCTCTGCACGTCTGCGGCAAAGTTTTCTTGGTTGATCTCCTCCTCGCGCAGTGTACTCAGCACCGCTTGATGGAACTCCAAAAGATCATCCCCTGGAGGCAACGTAAGTTGATACAATGGTATAGCGAAGTTGCTGAATAAATCCATCTTTGTTGACTTTTAATACCACAATTGATGTTAAATATTGGTAATTTATTTGGTAATGTCTTGCGTTTGCCTAATATATATTTTCTCTTGGTATATATGGCGAATTTTGGAAATTGTCGATGCTATCACAGTTAGATAACGCCGCCCCAACAATTAAATTTTTCGTAAGCAAACTGTCCATGACGCTGTGCATTCGACTGCTGCCATTTATCGATCATTCTACTCGTGAAGGACAGCTTTATTCCTAACTCGGTGGCACAAATTTTGCACGATGGTTGCCAAAATAGTTTTCGTTTGTGTTGAGATGGAGAGGCTTAGAGAAAAACGCTTTAGTTACAATAATTATAATCGGTTACTTTCCTTGAATAACTTTTAGACTACACTGTAGCTAAGGACACCTGATGACATAGTGGCTATAATTTTGTGTCAATATTTCCCTTCACTTCGACAACAACGAATTAGGTCTAAGCCCTAACGCTGTACTGACGAGGTTTATTTTTTTATATGGTTACTTCGTAGCCATTAGATTGATTCTCAAAACATAGACAAGAAGCATTGCTATTTTTTGAGATACCAAAGGTAGCTTCTTTTCATTTCACGAATAGCGTATAAAAATATATTTACGCTCTTCTGTAATTGACAATAACTACCTGTGTCTACCATTGATATTAGTTGAGGTATACGTACTCAGTCTCGATCAAAGGTTGTTCTTGAAGGAAAGTTAAAATTTCACTTTGATTTGCTGTCGCATATTTTTGGATACCCTGCAGCTAGAATTAGGAACAGATTGCTTACCAATAAGGCGTTGAACAAAGTGCGCTGGTACTAGACCTCTCCTACCGTCCAAGAGTTCTGCGTCAAGATAACCACCCGTACCAGTTGGATCACCCCATACCAACAAGTAATCCCCTGCTTGGATGCTCAATTCTTCCTCAGCCGCCTCTGGTTCTGGATCGTACGAAAACCTGTAATGGTATTGTCATATTTTAAAGAGAAAATAAATAACTCAGATTAAAAACTGTAGCATTAGAACAAGTTTATGCTTTCTCATTCACATTTGCAGTACTCTCTTTTTAGCCAAGCCAGGCTTACAGATTAAACAAGACGGAGAACGTAACTATGATTATACCCTCAAAAAAATTCAAATGATGTGAAGTCAAAATTTTTATTTAATTAAGAAAAGTGTATAACGTAAAATGAATGAAAGTTCATATTATTTGAAATGTACTACATACTACCTTTGAAAAACGTTCTCGTCATCGAAAAACGATGCCTTTAATCTGTGAAACTCTGCAAATGCATACTACTGCTACAGCAACATTTGAATTGAATGTCACAGTCGTTTTTTACGTGTTCTAAATATTTCTTAAACTATGTAATAGAATCCATACATATTCGAGACATACTCTTGCGGCCATTCATCAGCTCGACACGCTCGCCCACTTATAGGCAAAAAATTATCTGTAAACTTCGAGGTCTTTGTACACCAAACTTGCAGGGTACCTGCCTCGCGATCTCAAAATCCTCTGAAAGGATACGTTTTTCCTGAGTATAATCTTCTCGAAAAGCCAAATTTAGGATCATTTTCGATATATGTAAATCTCCTAATTTTATTGCACGATTTATAATTTTTGTCACTTATGACATTCATCAACGATAATCCCCCATGCTTGTCTGGCCAATAAAACCACTTGTATTGATATAATCTGCCTTACTATAAGTATTTTTATCACAATCGTGATCTTCAGGACACAATACATTTTGTCTTCCAGGTAACAGCTCGTTTATTTTTTTATCACATTTGCTATACAGTGTGTTACTACAAAAGTCTGAAAATCCAGAAACCCAGAACCCAGAACCGCCTGGGGTAGGCATTCTTACTGTCTCCTAGAAGTCAGATAAATAAAATAACTTGACATTTTACTGAAGAAGATCACCTTTGTGATTGAAACGTTCACAGTAAAAAAAGATGATGTTAATACGTGTGGTTTCATTGACTAGACGAGCATGGGGGATGATCGACATATAAACCACACGATCCTACACTCATCAACCTCATCGTCACAGCCATCAGACTAAACCAAAATAACTTTGTCCATTTATTATTTATCAATCAGTAGGTAGGTAGGTAGGTTACGTCGCAGCCTGATAACTTTACCTTGCAGATGAGCATGGCAACAAGTAAAAGACAGATATGCCCAGCCCCGTGTAATGAGTTACTGCTGATGTTTGCAAATGAAAATAGTACCATTTTCCGGCTGCTTTAGGGTGTGCTTACCTTGCGATATACACCGAACACCGCCCCTTGCCAGGAATATCTAACATGTCTACCTGTCCATCAGTCATGGAGGCATTGTGTCCATTAAGGAAGCCTCTGTCTGAATGCAAGCCGGCCCAATCGCTATCTAATCCGCCGCTGTCATTTATAATTCTAGGTCTCAAATCTGAAATGCCTGACAACATTGTTGTGCCCCATATTGCTGGCGGATGAGGAGTGACGGGAGTTGCAACACGTCGAGTTCCTGTGAAAAAGATGATGAAGTTCAAAGGTTTGGGTGATATCCATTGGGACACTCTAAACATATTTTTGCCCCTGGATGCTTTTTGAAAAATATACACGACAAACAAGTGTTTTAATGGTATTTCTGGTGAAAAACACATATAAGGCTTGCCAGCGTTTGAAAGGACTGTTTATTATGACTACATCCAACTAGCACTTACGAATTCACGTTTGTCTCTTCACTATCAAGTTCTATCAAGATACGACACACTCATTTGATTGAATTTTTTACAAATCATATTCAATTTTGTTATACCGTGAAACAAATGGATTGCTGATGATATGTCAAGACAAGACAGTACGGTGTAGTATATTCTAGATTTTTGAATCAACGGATGTCCGAAGACGTTCCAGATATTGTGGATAAGAGTATATCAATCGATTATTCATGCAACCTAAAAACTTGAACAAAATAAATAGGAAGGCTGGCTAGACTTGCTGGCATCAATAACGTGACGCGACGCCTACATTCCAAATTTTCGCAGTCTGCTGCCGAGCTTTCCACACGATTCCTTCCTCAATCTCCGTCTAATTGCACCTAGTAAACAACTCTGATAAACATAAAATTTACATATCAGGGCGGCAAGTTCGAAATTACTCCTAAAACTGGCAGAACAGCACCACCGCCTGTCTCAAAAGTGCAGGAACAACCGTAATTAGCCGGCCCTGATCTCTGCTACTGGAGAATTTGATAACCAGAAAGTTCTCAGGAGTCAGTTGATTAATAAGAAAAACGGGTAATTAGGCTGATGCTTTGGATGTTTCGAAGTTGAGTCATTTATTTTAACAGTGAGTGGATCTGATCAAAAGAAATGTTTTTTTCCTTTACCATTTTTCTGGTAAAATTAAAGTAACAAAGTTATAGCCCTTTGGAAGTTTGAGTACCGCCCTGTCTCAATAATAATATTATGTGCTCGTGGTTGGCAACAACGGATATAATCCGCCTTATCGGTTCATCGCATCGGAAACAAAAAAGCGAAAGAATTTGGAACGATGTTTTTACAATTATTTTATTCAGTTGTATACAGTCAGTATCAGTCGGTAACGCGTGAGTGAATAGTGGTGTCTGTTGCGTGGCTCAAACGAAATCAAAAATGGCACATGTTTACGAAAATGCTGAACTTGTGGACATGATTCTTATTTACGCGGCTCGGTTTCCCAATCGAGTGCAACCAACCCCTCGTGCCTTTGTTAATGTAGTACAAAGGGCTCGTGAATCAGGTGACTTAAGACCTCACAGGGGAGGGGATGCCGGTGCTCCAAGACCGCACGATCAAATACAGGTCCGCACTGAAATGCTTGTCGGGAGGATACTTTATAAAACAAGGTAACATTTTTTTTAATTTTTTTTTTATTTTTACACACATATTTTGGTTTATCTTCCTTCTACAATCATTATCTGAAAATTAATGACTCAACTAGATAATTGTAGGTTGAATTTCGATTAAACCTGCGATAATCAACTTTTTACATCATATTTTTTTACGTACGGCTTGCACGGAACTGTCCAAAATAACATTTCACATTACGAATACAAGTAGCTAAATCCTGTTAACAGATGTTGCTTACATATTTACTGAACCTGATTGCTACGGTGGTGGGGCTAAGAGTTAAATATGAGGATGAAGGCGTATTGTTTAAGTAACATCTTTACATTAGATTTCTGAGATCCCATGGCGCTATAATCATTTTTTGAAACTACTTTTGCTTGAAAGTTTCATTTCATTCTATACAGCTAAACAAAATAAACAGCACCTTAACGGGAAAGCTAAACTAAAACTAGAAACGTATCATATTCCTCTGAAGCATCTCGTAGTATCTATCCAATGAATTATTGTACATATAAAACTGAATGTTCTAGGTTGATGTGTGCCGATACCAGTCTTTGTTGATTTTCGATTTATATAAATTAAATATGCTGGCGAATGTTGCTCAAGAATGGTCTATGAAACATAATACAGAACGAATACCTTATAGGCACAAGGACTCGTTCATATATTATATAAGGGAATCTGTATCATTATAAAGCAGTGAAATTCTCAATTCACACGCTCATTGGACGTAATTTTCGATATGTAACAACAAAAAATTAGCCTTGTCATTTTTCAATATTCATATATATAATCACTCAACGTGTTTTTGACCACGACTTGTACAGCTAGCATGATCATCTGCTACTGAATCCGTACGTGGTAACATTGTTGGGCATTTAGGGGGCGAGTCACTGTTAGTACTATTTTAATCCGTTGATTAAAAATTAAAGAGTGTAACATTATTCAAATACTTCAAGGTCTTCTTAAGCCCTTGGTTATTAAGGAAGATCATTGACACAATAGCAAAATAAATTTTTAGAATCTGAGAAGATCAAGTCCATAAAAAATAAGAGGCGTTGGCATAATACTGACCTCGTGTGAAAATTTCATCCAAATCCGAGTAGTATCTGCTTCTCAAGTTATAGACGGACCAAGGATTAGCAGACAGACAAACAAATAGGCAGAAGAGAATGAGTGGCATGGTTTTTCGTACATGTCGTACAACCCCCCAAAGAAATATCTCACGCACACAATATTTGCGATTACAGTTCTTCCTCGCAGTGGCCCAAAAAACAGAATTTTTGGTTAAGTATCCAAGGTAACTATAAAAAGCTAAGACTCACAGACTGACGTTATCTGGGTACCAAACAACAAATAAAAATTGCAGAGAGTTTATTTCTGAAATGCGTTATAGAAATTTGAAGAAGCTCTAGACGTGCCTGAGCACCATGAATGAACTGGTAGCAGTGCTGGTTAAAGGAATACCCGAAATCGTGCTGTCTGTTATGAATTAATGCTTGAAAACGGGGGAGTTTCCAAAGAAGAAGATGGTTTAGTACTCATCCCCAAGCCTCTAAATCTCACCATCAGGGACGTCAAATATACAAATAGATCTCTATGTATGGTGAGTGCACTGGGAATGCTACTAGAGCCACTGATAGAAAATAACTATTTTCTCAAGACGTGTTTTAAGCTAATTTTTTCTGTTGATAATCGTCGCACCCTCTTGTAAAGTCGCACCACCGTGCCGTCTGTGTTCAATACGCTGTACGCAAACATAAAATGGTAAGGTGATTGCATATACTTACAAAATCGGAAAACGGACTACCGCGCTTCCAGCTTCACGTGATATGTATTAACAAACAGGTGTCTGTTATGTTCAACCACGGTAGTTGATTCTAGTAACATTTTTTATAGTTTTAATTAAAAGATGGGAAATGGAGTGCAATACGGTCAATCTAACTTTTATTTCTGGAACTTACCACCATTTCACGCTCACCACTTTTCATTAAGCAATTTGATCTAGCAGCAGCAGGAAGCTGATAGAAGACTGTTCTGATTCTAGATATAATGAAGATTTTTTTCTGTGCTTTTTTGCCAAAGAAACGCATTCGTTAGATGCATACCTTTATTACAAACAGTATCATTGCAAATGTTTGTCTTTGCGTAAATACCGCCCAGGCCTATGCGATGTGCTAACCAAACATAGCGAAATGCATCCGATTATGTATCTACAAACTATAACGTTATAAGACAATTCACTGGACATTTTGATGAGCTTTTAAGAATATATCCTTTTTTTCCCAAAATTATCTCTCTAAGAAAAGTCGCGATTTAAAAAAAATGCTCAGTAATTGTTGTCACATCAGTCTAGGCACTGATGCATGGTTCTTTCTTATTCATGAAAAATATCTTGATTCAATAATACGATTAGAGACCCATCTTATACAAATTGTATTACTAGTCTTTTAGAAGAAGTCGACTATATTCATTAGCATCCATCACTACTAAGAGGGGTTCTTATTAGTCGAATTTGCTCCATGAAATGAAAATGAAATAATATTAGCATGGATCGCCTAAGCATGAAGCAGTTAGCTAGGATTGCAACGTGAAAGTGACACTTATGTAACCTAAACACGAGTACTCAGAGCGACGTTGTGTCACCAGCTTTACATTCAGTAACCAATAGAAAACACTGATATATCTATTGGATGCAACTGGTTACTGGAGTACGGGCTGGCAGCAATTCATTATTCTGATAATCCGATCTAAGCTGTTGCTGAGCTTTCGTTTTTATTGGCCCAAAACAACTGCTCACCTGTGATGTCGACATCATCCATCTGTTTCAACTTGATGCTCATTGGCAGACTGTTGAACTGACTACTAAGAGGATTCGAAAAGGTAACATTGTTGCTGGTACTGTAGCTGGTAGTGATCGGATTGGAGTAAGATGACAGTCCGTATTGTGTGGCTGAGTTTGAGAACGTGGAAGGGTTGTTGTACGATGAGGGAGGAAGAGTATTCGAGAAGTTGGTGTTTCCGATAGACGTCTGGACCATCGACGTTCCGAGAGAGGAGGGCACAATGGAGGTGCCCAGAGAGGAGGGAAGCGTGCTGCCAACGGTACCCAATCCGGTGCCGATTGTTGATAACGGGTTTTGCGTCAGCGATGTCCCTAAAAACAAACATTTCGGTATTTAGACAATATAAAAGATGTTATTATTTGCTTCATCCTCAAGATACAATACATTTTTCAAAAATTGTTCCTTCTAAAGGACGTTCATTATTCTCTGTAGAAGGCCGTCGAGTAAACTATCACTTCAACAACCGTGGTTTTATTTAACGGCTAGCAGAATACGGAGATTGATCGAAGAGACAACCACGGAAAAATTATAACTTTAGCTTGCCCGATTTTCCACTTAATATAATAATAAAAATGAAAGCGTCAGAAATAGTAAATACCTAGCACACTAGTCTGGCCCAACGTGCTTCCAATTCCTACCGAATGATGTCCCAAACTATTCATGGTAGTCCCTATGCCTCCTATCTTGTACGAAGGTGTGTGTCCCAAGCTGTTGTATTGGCTGGTAGTGTTGTACCCCCCCACACTCACAGGGTTGGAGGATGGGAGGTACGACCCTGCACTGGAAGAGTAGGCGTTGTGTCCCACTGCGGCCGTGTGTCCCGGGTAGATACTGGGTGTCGTGTGGGACATGGTGATGGGCGAAATGGGTGGACTGCATTCGCCTAGTGCATGCGAACTGACGCTAGTCGCTAGACCTGCGGTGCATCCTCCTGGAACAAAGGAAAGAACAGATTTTGATACTTGTGTTGCTTTAGATATGGTACTAAAATGGTTACCATGCAATTGTCTTGAATTTGGAAGCTACATGCATGAAACATAATAAAGCATTTCCCAGCGATCAAACGAATTAGATAATGCTAATTGTATTTATTTGTATTGGTTTGAAGTTTTCCTTAGTATTTTAAATTTGCGCAGTTTCCATATATTCTTGAAATATTCAAAAAAGCTAAAAGGTACTGTGAAACCGAACCACTTTCAGCAAATTGATTACTAATACAATTTCAAAGCCTCGAAACTGTACTTTAGTTCACAAAGGATCTGTTTTATCGTTTTCTGTAATGATTATCTCGCTTCGTTTGGCATACCATAAAGGAGAGCAGATATTCATCAAGTCTTTTCATTGATTTTAATTAACGCCCAAAGATCATTTTTCCGAAAAACCACAACGCACTTCAAAATCGACTCATTTGGTAAAATAAAATTATATTAGTATTTTATAAACAAAACCTACAAATCTTGTGTGTGACAAAAATAACAGAACCAAGAAGTTGCCCATCAGTACTGAATGAGTTATATCTTATCGATTTTAACATTGACTAATGTATTGTGTACGATCATTTATGAGAATTTGTGACAGCTGTATTTACCCTCTCCACAACAATTAGAAATTTACCTTAAAAAGGTTAGACTCATAGGTGGCGTATTTGCTAACTATTTGAGTATATCGTTGCCTACAGCGCCATCTATGAGACGCTTACCTTGTCAAAGTAAATGTCTAATTACTGCTGTAAGGAGAACGTAGCTCATACATAACGTCACAATATATCATTTTATCTCGAATTATTTTTTCGATGCCGGAATAAAGTATTAGGTTGGCTATCTTGGAGTAAAATGCGTTAATCAATGATTTTAGCTATTTAATAGGATTTCACAAACTTTCGCGTATCTCAAAGAGCAGTTCGACTTTGTACTGAAGTGTATGTTGTCAAAAACAAGTGAACTATCAGGCCTTCAACGTCCTGTATACGATTGAGTTCATATGATTACAACTCTGTTTAGTGATTTGATTGATAAATGACTCTGGACGCTGCCCAAGATACATCTACAAAGAAACTTTTTCATGAAATACATGTAGTACATTATATTCGACTGGCAATTGATAGCAATTCGATAATTCCAATTATATTGCCATATACAGTACATACTGGGGACAATACTGCATGTAATCTAAAAAGTGTACCTACAACGGTATAATGGTATGAGGTCACCTTTATACCATACATACATATAAATTCCATCAATATTGTATTTCGGCTGAGCTGGGCTTCTCATGGTGGACCATTAATTTTTTAATATTCCAGAACAAAAATCATGTATAGTCAACGCCAAACAAAGTGGCGTGCACGTCATCACGATAAAAATTCCCCGACTTAATGACTAGGTTTCTATCACAAACAATTGCTCTATTGCAGTTTCATATTAATGTGATATATAAATTGTAAAATGGTCATTACTCTCTTATTATGGTTAATAGTCATATAAACATTGTTATTAAAATATCACATAAGTTGCTTTCTGATAAATTTAGACGCATTATGCGAAATAAAATGTTTTGCAAACGCTCCAATCACTTATCGACATGTAAACAACAGGCCTTTGTTGCCTTTAAATGCTGTTCAAGAGGTAGGTTACTAATATATGTAATGTATATTAATAATAGTGAAATTTTATTTCATTTTTTGTAGCGTGTTGCTGCTGCTTTAAAAATTAGTTTAAGGACAGTTAGTCGTATTTCCGAGGGTGTGAAAAGTGATGCAAATTTAGAATCGCCCAAGAAAAAGCGGAGTTATAGTAAACGTGTAACCAACACAGCGACATTGGATACAAGTGCCATTCGAGAAGTGATCTATAATATGTATCACAAAAGTAAGATCTTATTATAATAACTTATCAGAAATTTGCATTAATTTGTTAACTAAATTATAATGTCATATTACACATGGTTTCAGAAGAACAAGTTACGATACAAACTTTATGGTCTCGATTAAGAGATAGGGCATTATTTGATGGTAGTGCCACGTCTTTAAGGCGGTTGCTTAGAGATCTTGGATTTAAGTGGCTTAAGGACAATCCGCGACGAGGGCTCATGGAACTACCAAGTATAGCTTTGAAAAGGGTGGAATTTCTAAGGCAATACAATCAAGCCAAGGTTGAGGCCTTATACCAGTTTGTCTTCCTCGATGAAACTTGGATATTTCAAAATGGGACCATAGGTCGCTCTTGGCAAAATGGAAACCAAAAAAGCGTGAAAGCTATTAAAACAGATGGTAAAAGGTATGTACTTTTACACAATTTACACTATAAAATTTAAAACTAATATATTTTAGATACATTATATTACATGCTGGAAATGAAAATGGGTTTATTGAGGGTAGTGAAGCGATATTTTCTTCGAAAACAAAATTGAGCGATTACCATGGAGAGATGAACCAGGACAATTTTTTGAAATGGTTTCAACATCAGTTATTAGAAAAATTGGAGAGTCCATCTATGATTATACTGGATAACGCCCCTTATCACAGCATGATATTGAACAAAGTGCCCAACAATGCATGGACAAAAAAAAATATCCAAGACTGGTTGACAAATCAAAACATACCATTTTTAAACACAATGTTTAAAACAGAGCTATTGAGTATTGTTGCTCGGTACATAATGCTTCTTAATTATATATATTTTGGTCGACAGTTTATATTTCTTTTGTTTATTCCTATTCTTAAAATAACTGCTTTTTAGAAACAAACCACCTAAAATATACGTGATTGATGAATTGGCGGAACAACATGGGCACAAAGTTCTTCGCCTGCCTCCTTACCATTGTATACTTAACCCTATTGAGTTAATTTGGGGCATAGCAAAAGGTTACTATAACAGACATATTGGTAGAGATGGTAACAGTGAAAAAGACTGTTTGGATATGTGGAACGAGGCTCTACAAACGGTTACCCCAGACATGTGGAAAAATAGTGTTCGACATCCTGAGCAAGAAATTTTTAAATGGTATGAAAGAGAACGAATTTTTGATCGACCAGACATCGAACCTTTAATAATCAACTTTGAGAGTGATGAAGATTCAGATTCAGACAGCGCTGAAGAAAGAAACTCCGACTAACTTTATTGTACAGAAAAAGCTTACACCAGTAGCTTACCTAATTTTAGAATGCATTTTTCTGAATGAATTCTGTAAAATAAATACCATGCATAAAATTTGGAGGACCCCATTTGGATTTTTATTCAGTACCTTTAAGCTATCAATTAAATATGGTAGTTTCATAGTGTCATCTGATCAATAATTGTCATACTTAATGATTATGCAAGTACAGATCTATAATTTTATTATATTATTATTTTTGTTCTCATTTGAGGTTAATATTCCTTATAAACCTAGATATGTAAATAATAAATTTTATTATTTTACAAAAAGTTTGGCAACAATGTAAATTTTTCAACACACCCACCTTGATGACGTGCACGCCACTTTGTTTGGCGTTGACTATATATACACAGTTATTGTTAATCAAATGAATTTTTCTCTGCATGGTGCAGATAAATTGGCTATAGGCGAAACTACATAAATATAAAGATTCCCCCGCAGGTAACCAAATCTAGACAAATTAAGCTATATTATGTCGAATTATCTTCACCAAATTTTCAGATTGACAGATTGCTACATTGTCATATCCTACATATCCGTGATTTTTTATACATATATTTGGGCAATGAATAGGTTCGACAGAAAAAAATATTTTTTTTAATTTTTTGTTAGATACTGAAAATTTCCCAAAACCTTAAAATTAACTTTAAACCAATGTTTCAGTGCATTCTTTCCAGATCCACTAATCAAATCATAAGCTTCTACCTTCAAAATCGCTACAAGTCGGAAAACTGCGTTTTCACCGATTTTCTACAATTTTGAGACTTAAAATGTATGGTATCATAAGTTGGCTATCCTATAAACTCAACTTTTATATTATATATGTTTCTATTCGTTCAGGTTCCATAATCAAAATAGTGATTTGTTTCCCGGAATATCGCGAAAATAGGAAAAACCGCATCTTCACTGATCTTCAATTTTTGACAATTGTGGTTAGGAAAACAATAGTTATTCGTTCTAGTAACCCATTGTATGTATGCATTTTTCCACGTTACTTTGAGTTCCGTTGTTAAAATAATAATTTCTTGATCTGGATAACTGGCGAAAACCGATTTTTTCAACTTTATACACCTTTAAAGTAGGATATCATAACTTGGTTAACCAAAAGCTCAATGCGCTTATGTATTCTAGAAGTACCTAAAGCTCCAGTCAATAAATCATTGTCTTAACAACTAAACTAAAAGAAAAAACTTGAATGCATTTATACAGGTACAATGAGTCAAAAAATGAAGAAAATTAGCGATAATGTGGATTTTCCTATTTTCCGATTTTTTTTGAAAACAACTGAATATGTTGAGTGTGGAACCTTTGGAAATGGGCAAAAAAGAATATGTTTTTCAAGTTAGCCAACTCATAATACCCCACGTTTGAAATGCAAAAAATTGAAGAACGGTGAAAATGCGGTTTCTCCGATTTTTTGCGATTTTGTGAGCAGAAACTAATGATTCTGTTAGTCGATTTAAAAAAACGCAAGAAAGTACTGATATACGGCGGAATTTGAAGCTTGTACTCTAGTAGTTATGTACGATATAACAATGTAGCGACAGTAAATTTTTCCAAATTTGTTAAGCAAAATTGCGTTCGTATGAGAATGTTGTTTCGACTATAGCTTTTCAGGAATTTACCTTCTATAGATAACGTTATCTGAACGGTTTCTGTCATGTTGTTGACATTCTCATAAGAGGCTGTAAAAATGTTTGAAGACTAAGTTAGAAGCAGAATAAGACATACAGTGTGTTTACAAAAATCCATCTAGGAGGCGTCACAGAGGTGGCCCTACGATTTATATTAAGGACTATTTCCGCACCGGGGAGGAGGATGGCGGAAATTGAAAATTAAAAAGCGTAGGGTGAGTACTTAGAACGCCGACGATTGAAAATTGATGAGCCTGGGGCGGATTTGCTTTCGCCTACCACGATACAGCATTATGTTCAATTGGCATTTCGTACAGTCTTCAGCCAGATTCTGCGGTGAAAAGCGTATCCAAAATTGCCGTTCAAGAAGAGAGGCAAATTAATTTATTGGAGTACGTACGTGGTGATAATAATCAAAGCACCTAGCGTGCGTCCTAGTGCGCGGTGTGGATAAATATACATAGGTGAACTATCGTTGTTAACAGAAGAAAACCAATTAACTCAACTTTATATGGCGTTTAAAATAGGTAAAACACGTAATTCCTAATTTTACCTATTTTCCATTTTTGTTATGGAAATATCAGCTTTCTTTAAGTATCATTCAGAAGCTGCTCAACTAAACTATAATATTGCATTTATCACAATAATGCTATTATTCCTAAAACAATATAATGCATAACTCAATTTGTTTTTACGCTTTTCTCTAAAATTCATAGAAACGGAGTTACGATTTTTTCTTGTATCATCGACGCTACGTCTTCAGATGATCTCTCAGCTTAAGCGTCTCAGGACTACCAATTAAAATATTATGTCGCACATTTACGTAAAATACCATACCATGACATATCTTGGAAACAATAAACCTTCGCACGATATAGGTCTCATTATAACGAATTACATCCAGCACATACAAATGACAATAATACCATAAATCACAAGGCACCGACTGAAACGAGTTACAACTTCTAAACTACTGCATTCCGACGCATCGACACAGACTAAGCTAAACTGCATTCACATATTGAAGATATTTTGGTAGCCATGTCTTCCCTGTGCGAGAGTTGGCAACCGTAGGGGGTTAAATTATGTTGAGAACACTCTGCTCATCGATTAAATCTAGCAGGAAAATTTGTCGTCAGTTTTATATTGTCGAATAATTTCCGTAGTCAGCGGAATGCCATGAATTTGTTTCGTGTTCAAGCTAGATAGCGCATTGTCAACAGAATGAATTTTCTTGCATTAGAAATTAACATTAAGTGTGTTAATTAGGTATATTGACTGATGCTGAACAGTATTAAGGAGAACAGACATATTATCATAGAGCTATGTAGGCTCTGCAAATCAAACAGCGTCGGCAGTGCCTTCATATTGAAGTCGCGAAGGTGGAAACTTGATTTTCGGAGTATTCCGGCTGCTAAAAAACTTGATATTTTAATAAATAGACGTACCACTTAGTGAGTTAAAATATTTAGTTGTTGTATTCTCATCTACATATAAATGTGAAATTAGCATTCTAAGTGGCTATTGAACAGGGCCAATTGTCACTGATATACGAGGGCCGTTTGATAAGTCAGTGACTTTTTGAATTTTCCGCGCAGAAACTTTGAATGCAACACTGCTGCCGTCAACTGCCCTCTTTTATATGACAAATGTCAAAATTTGAACAAGCTATGTCATTTCATTTGAGTTTAGAGCCGTTGAAAGTAGACAGTCTCATAAATTCTAACAAAAATGGAGAAAATTGAATTTCGTGTTCTAATTAAACATTATTTTTTGCGTAAAAAAACCATCACTGCAACCAAGGAAAGGCTTGACAAATACTATCGGGACTCTGCACCATCTATTTCAATGGTGAAGAAATAGTTTAGTGAGTTCCGTTGTGGTCGAACCAGCACAAGTGATGCCGAACGTTCAGGACGCCCAAAAGAGGTCATCACATCAGAAATCGTGGATAAGATCCACGGGATGAGATTGGAAGATCGGAGAATAAAAATACGTGAAGTAGCTGAGGCAGTAGGCATCTCAACTGAGCGGGTACATCACATTTTACATGAATATTTGGACATGAAAAAACTATCCGCGAGATGGGTGCCGCGATTGCTCACAGTCGACCATAAGCGCAACCGTGTGACCATTTCAAGGGAATGTTTGTCGATGTTCAGCCGCAATCCGAACAAATTTTTGCGCCATTTTGTAACTGTAGACGAAACACGGACTCATCACAATGCACCAGAAACCAAAGAACAATCAAGACAGTGGGTTTCAGATCGTGAGCGTGCTTCCAAGAAAGCCAAGGTGAGTCTGTCAGCCAGCAAGGTTATGGCCACACGTGTGTTGTCTCGATGGCAAAAATTCATGAACTGGGCTACGAACTGCTGCCCCATCCTGCCTATTCTCCAGATTCAGCCCCCAGCGACTACTTAATATTTCGAAACCTGAAAAAATGGCTGGGTGGTAAGAAATTTGGGTTGAATGAAGAGGTCATCATTGAAACAGACGCATATTTGGAAGCCTTGATAAAAACTACTATTCGGAAGGAATTAAGAAATTGGAAAAACGCTGGACTAAATGTATCGAGCTAAAAGAAGATTACGTTGATAAATAAAATTCTTATTTGCCGAAAAACATTTTTTTTATTTAAAAAGTCACTGACTTATCAAACAGCTCTCGTACATCGAATACTCTTTTGAACTGCAGAAAAAACTGTAAATTTACCTCCTTCGTCTTTGGGCGAGGAAGCATTGTAGTCGCGAAGCATTTCGAAAATGAGATATATTTTTGAGTGCTAACCGACAAGTACATCACGAAAAACCATATCCCTGATTTCCAACTGCCTGTCTGTCGGTCTGTCTGTATGTTCGCTAATCTTTGGCCCATCTATAACTCGTATGTTATAAATACAAATCGCTATGAAGATATAAGTATATATTGATAAGTAATATCAAACTAAAACTTGTTCATGCGTTAATCATCACACATTCAGATTATTGTTGTGCTATACAGGGTGTTTCAGAACTATGGGATCAAACTTGTAGGGGTTATTCAGTGTAACAGTAGAAAACATTTGAGTATAGGGACACATATCCGGAAAAGTGTCACTACGGCACTACGGCCCTAAGACGCGTTAAAATTTAGAAAGACGATGAATTGCCTAAATAGGATTGAATGCATTCAATTTTTGCCTTTTATACATGATATCATCACAACAATTGTTCAAAATGTCTTCCTCCAACCTGAATACACCGTTCCTGTGGAGACATGTAAAGTCTTACTTTTACGAAACTTCAGTAGAAACAGAGCAAGACTTAATTGGACGAATTACAGCAGCATTTGAAATCATTCAAAATGAGTATCAAATTTTTAGTCAATTCCGCCGAAATCATGTGCGACGTTTAAATCGGTGTATTCAGCTTGGAGGAAGATATTTTGAACAATTGTTGTGATGATATCATGTACAAAAGGCAAATATTACAGACGCGAACACATTACTGTGTATTATGTAAAGGGCAATGTTTTAAAGTTGATCGTTCGTTACGTCTCTATGCTGTTCTACTATTTAAGATTTTGAAATATAAGTCTCTGAAATATCTGTTGACGCTTTAGAGAAAATATTACATTACAAGATTAGAATACCCAAAAATTTTTAAACTAACGTCTATTCACAGCTTCAAAGGAGAATTCAACAGAATGCTAGTACAGTTAAAATTTCATGAATCGACAAGTGGTTGAATAGATCTCGTTATTAATATTATATTTTAAAGTTGTGTACGTATTATAATTGTCAGCTACATTTTCTCATATGTGATGTATGTATATGATATGCCCTAGTAAGATAAAGTGATGCTCAAACATGAATCATTTTATTTACCTAGCTATACCGGCGGTGGCAATTCTAATCCCCGGCCTTTTGAAGTATTGTTTTTTGTGTTATATTATTTGCTCGTAGTTTAATTCTATTATGTATTAATACTCCAGAAAACATTATTATTATTTATCGGAAGCTTATTTAAATGTGTAAAAACTTGATACATGTTTCAGCTCAAACTAGCGATTTCTTATTGAGTGCTGACTTCCAAGGCTTTCAATGTCTAATGTTGCCTAATCTGGTATATGAACTCCGGAGCGGGACATTTGACCGATATGTTTTTTACTTATTTCTATCTGTTTTACATATATAGGTAAATTGTTCGGGAAACAGAGTCTATTCTTTCATTCGTAAGATAATTGCAGCAATTTTACGCCATGTATAACTCATAGAGGCGTAGGTTTCATAGATAGCCGTTTAATAAATAATGTCTTAAACTCTAAAGTTGAATATCTGCTGTTATTTTCTGCTAGTTCCTTTTGATCTATTTTTCATGTCAATGTCTACCAGTTCAACTATACTTTACCTTTTGTTCATTTCACATCAAGAAAATTCGCTAAGGACAGGTATCTTCAATATGTGAACAACCTGATCTGAAGGCTATAGCCGGTTTACTACACATTCACAGAACACAAATACCAGACACCTAGGTATGAATGTTTAGGTCTGTCAGATGATCAGCTACTCTAACTTACCCAAAGTGGTAGAACGACTATGGTCTAACTCAGCTAATATTCTGTTATCTTGTTCTATCTTAGCCATAATTCGTTCTATTTCTGTACCTTTATTGGACCAGGAGTGTCCGCCAGCCATGTTCATGTTCATGTTCATGTTGGAAGACGTCGACATGCCGCCGACGCCCCCCTGCATGCTGCTGGTGCCTAGCCGGGCCCGTTGAGTGGACGCCAGCTCCAATTGCAATTCTTCACATCTGAAACAATTTGTTGTTCTGTTAATGGAACTGACCTGTCATTGCTTTAACTCATTGCCCAAACAGGAAAGCTTTTAGATTAGATTGCTCTTAAATCACTGGGCAGGAGTAAACCTCTGGGGCTGCCTGGTTTACAAGCCCCGGGATTTCTTGGGATGTCCCTGGATGTTTAGAGATGTCTTTGTATTTCTTGGGACATCGTCATCATCGAACAAATTACCAGATCCTGTTATTTATCACTTGAGTTAAAATGACCAATAGTATTCGAAATAAGTACATCCGACTGAAATCTCAACTTTAAGGATCTTTGTTCAACCAAGCGATTGTATGTACATTTACTTATTTTTAAGAAATACCGTTTTTATTTTGATCTCATTATTCTCACAGCTACATATGTTTTGGTTAAAAAATATTTATCGCGGCAAATAAACATTTCGGTATATATAGCAAAAGCAGAGTACCTATGTTATTTATGCATTACAACAACGATAGGTCGAATTTACTGGTCGACTTACTTTATTGCAGTAGCACCTTCAGTGCTAGAGAGGTAGTCACTTGACTGAAGTGTATCTGAATAATGTAAACTTGCAACTATATCATTAATTTCATGCCTAAATGTATCATGTCTGTAAACTAGCCATATACGTCCTCGATAAGTAACATCACACTGCAAGGGATGTCCAGGGATTTCTCAGGATATTCATAGGATTTCCAAGGATGTCCTGGGATTTCATCGAAAAAGAAAAGTCTGATGCGGAATTTTGTCCAGCGGCACTGGGTCATTTTCACTTCTTTATCATTTTTATACTTCACACGTTCTTAAAGGTTATATTATTTTTGGATCTTACATGGCATCTATATGACGAAAAATGCGTTAAAAAGGTTGACTCTGTCGTTCCAACGCAATGCTGGACAAATATTCTTTCAATAGTTTTTGAGTTTTGCATACTCTGGTATGTTTGTCAGTTGGTTGATATCTTAGTAGAGAGCTAGTGATCTCGTTCGCTAAGCGGGACTATAAAGTTTTGTCCTGTCACTGTTCAGTCGCCATAATTCGTTGGTACAGTGAGCAGCGTGCTTTTACTGTTGAGTGGCCATCCCGCTCATCTGGTTATTTGGAATTATGTGAACCTTTCAATGACCCTACAAGATTTGTAGACCGGCATCCTGGCAGAAATTGTCATCTTAACGTCTGCTATGCTGGAGAGTCATGACAAACGCCAGAAATCGGTTTACTCAGTGTATGGAGAATGGAGGACGTCACATATTTGATTTGATCTTCAAAACTATGTAAAACGAAACTTTAGACATACGCCTACAATATAAAAGACAAATAAAAATGTCATATAAGTTTTGTAAAAAAGGAAGCTATGATGCCGTACCCTGAATATAAGACCGTAGAACAAAATAAGTATCAGTGAAAAACATCATTGTTGATTTAAAAAAAAAATTATGGACTTATTTATGCACCACGTAGAGTATCTGGGTCAACTTTCGTAGGTTCTACGAGCCCCTTCCCACTTCAGTTGGCCCACTTCAAGTTTTGTACCAAAATATGCCTTTATAAACTAAACATGACGAAACTCTTTACTTCTGAAACAATTTATTTTCTCAAAAACATTTTAGATACACTCTAGTCGTAAAAAATACATATTTGAAGTCACTTAGACCTATAACTAATAGAATGTCTGATCAAATAAGCAATGTGCGAATAAATGCGCGAAGTTAAAAAAGCAACAGTTGAAAGATTACCATTGGGTAACATCACCTTTATTTTTTATTACGGCTGTGATTCTTTGAGGCATAATGTTAACCAAGTTTTGGCAAAAGTTAGGTGTAAAACAATCATATATTTCTTGAAGCTTTTGTCTCAGTTCGGTGAGTGTACGAGCAGGATGTTGTCGTAGAACCTTTTTCATCTCGTGCCACAAAGTTTCAATAGATGACAGATCTGGACTGCTAGAAACCCGTTTCAAAAGTGGTACATTATTTTCTTTCATCCATTTTATAGCCTTTTTCGAGGTATGGCATGCTGTACCATCTTGCTGAAACACAAAATCTTGGCCGGATGTCAAACATTCTTCCATCACTGGTAAAAGCGATTCTTCTAAAATTGCCAAATATTTGTTTGTATCCACATTTCCATCAATAAAATGAAGTTTTGCTACTTCTTTTGATGCCATACTGCCCCAGACCATAATGGATGCTGGAAATTTCACTTTTCTCTTCAGACAGTCAACATGGAATGCTTCATTTTTTTGCGAATATCTCTACTGCGACTGTCACCAACACAAACTTCGAATCGGGCCTCATCACTCCATTGTATTGCACACCATTGTTGAGGTGTCCATTGTCTATGTTATTTAGCCCATCTAAGCCAATTTTTCTTTTGCAGTGGAGTTAATAGTGGCTTTTCTTTGGCCTATAAACAAGTTGTCCAACTTTTGGGTTTCTACTTCTACGTTTTTTTATAAGAAAACTTACCTTGCAAGTGCTAAATCCCAGTTTGTGGGCCTCTCTATAAGTTGTGGAATAATTGGCACGCCTGTTTTTCACGATTATTCTTCTTAATGCTCTTCGGTCGGCATTTGTGATATTACTTTTTTTCACATATCGTGGCTTAATATTAACTGAACCAGTTACGTTATATCTTCTAACAATATTTCTCACAATGTAATAAGTCTAACAAAGTTGCAATTTTTGAGTTTGATTTCCCAGAATTAAAAAATTTAATTATCAGTAACCGAATTTTCTCACTAATAACCTTTCCTTTACCCAGTTTGAAAACCTTAACTACCCAAAACTATTTTAAATGTATTCTGACAGCTGTGATTAATAAAAACAATTGTCATGGCTTTTATTGTTCACAGCCACCTATGCGTTATAGACTTATTTTGCATTGAAATGAAAATAGGTTGATATGCTGTAATTGCAACATGTGTTATTTTTATGCTGCAAATTTGATTAGGTGTATTAGGAGTGATAAAGTTGGTGTTTTCTACTATATATTATCAAAATATTCATTGTTAATATTTTAAACCTATAACACCCTGCTACATTTTTATTATTTGTGTTTGATAAGAAAACAACTAAGATTTCAATAGTTGGGGCAACTGAAGCGGGAAGGGGCTCGTATATTGAATAATGCGTTTGTTTGATATACATCTCTACTCGTAGGCCAATAATGAGAATAAAAATTATTTAAATCTGCAGTTTCATTTGGCAGCCAGCTAAATATTCAGTTTAATTATATCGAGATACATTTCACATTATACGTTTTGTGGTTTAATCAACTTGTTATATATCGATCTCTATAATGCACTTGAATACTGTATCAAATGTACAGGCTTATGGTCTGTGAGTAACCGGTTACGTTCATTTATCAGAACTAATGGCTATCAAGCCAATAAAAACATAAGATACTTTCATTGCCACACGGAATTTATAGTTCTGGAACTAGCAACCGTTTAGCAACAAACTTGGCAAGATGCCCTCGAGTAAAGCTTGAGCTTGACTTCTAAATGATAATAGAAATACAGGATCGGAGAAAAGTTTATCTTGTTAGTCAGTATAGAACTATGTACTACATAAAATGTGTCAACCACCTTCAAGCAACACTTCATGTAGGGACAGACAAGCGAAAATCCTTAAACACCTCATATATGAGCAAATTCGCAAACCTTAAAACCGTCCAGAATTAAGGCTTCAGATTTCTCAACAATTTTGACTCTCGGAAAACACAAAAATTAAGCCTTTAAGGTTTTTCTTTCTGTTTCTTGTTTGCCTTGTCACTTGTATATAATAATATAATAAGTAGAAAGGGATTCTCTTTTTTTGCTACACTTTTAGAAAACACACAGCGTGAAACCAAGACGCATGTTCAATCCCTTTCACGAAGATACACAAAAGAATTAAAGTACGGGCTCCCTTAGATGAAGAAGAAGGCAACCTCTCCTTTTTCAATCAGAGGCCTCCTTATTAACTTAAATTGGTCGTGCCTTGATATTTCTTGTTGCTTTCAAGTGACAAGGTAAACAAGATGTCGTTACATTAATGAAACCTCAAGTAAAATTCAGCTTACTGCATAGAGAGTGTGAAAGCTTTTCTATCGGTCCGTCCGGTATCCTTGGGGCCTCTATGACTTGAAAAGTACTGCTCTTATCTACATGAAATTTTTACACAAGGTTACTAATACGCCAAGGGCAAAAAAATGAAAATCGCTCAAACGCCGTTCCTTATCATTTCAGAGGATCTCATTATTTTTGAAAAAAATTTAGGGGTCAACAAGCAGTGTGGTAGGATATACATATATCAAATTTTTGATTCAAGTATATTTGTGTGCTCCCAGACGCACCTATTAACCATATTTCAATATGTTAGGCTTCCTCGTACATTTGTCTTTAAAATTTGATAACAAAACATAGTCTTTTCATATGGCAAAACATATACCGAGTCCTATGGATATTTATAGTTCAAAGAACGGTGTATCTTCCAACAGAATAGAATTTCGAAGATCACCAAATTAAGCGTTCTTGATTTCTCTCTTATTTCGTATATCAGAATTTAGTATTATATAAAATGAATGTCGTCACGTGGGTTGAATCTGCATTCCCTTCGCAACGCTGTCATCAGTTCATAAAGCACAAGTTATGCCCCCGAGGAAAAAATTAGTTACAAACATGTACAGTGCGAGCAGAACAATCAAGCAGACCGTTACGCCGCACGCTGATCCCATATAGCAGGAGACCCATATCGAAAACATATGTCTATTATTCTAAGTTTTGAAAACAAATGTACGGGACAACCTATGATATGTGAAATATAGCTAATAGGTGCGTAGAGTTGCCGCGGCTGGGAGCGTATAAATATCCTAACATTAAAAAATATATATGATATATATATACCCTCCTCCACGTTCCTAGAACCCTCCACCTCCTAATTGTTCCAAAAGCAACAAAGTTTTTTCGTTTTTTTGTCCTTGTGTAAAAATTTCATCAATCATCCGAGCAATACTTTCCAAGTTATAGAAGGTCCAAAGATTATCGGGCAGACCGACAGACAGACAAATTGACGTAGACGAGTGATATAGCTTTTCGTGATGTACATGTCATATACATATAACATCCCAATATCATATTATCTCATTTACGAAGTTTTTCGCGATTTCAATATTTCCTCGCCCAGTAGTGTATTAAGTTAAAGGGGAAATAGGTGTATTGAATACCTTGATATTACTGTGGTATGCATTGACGTGCTATTCAAAAGCTGTGTAAGCCAAACAGCCTCTGTTTTCATTGACGGAGTACACCGCTTGTTCCATCTCTAGACTTGGGCAACATCTAGCAGTTATAGTGATGACTCAACTGTAAAATGTTGTTTCTTACAACTTACCTAACAGTTTCTAATGCAACTTTCTTTTCTAGCTCCCTAACTCTGGACTGCCTGGCTTCTAGTTCCGAAGGTCCACATCCCCTAAGCGCCTGCAGCGCCTCCTGGTGCTGCCGTTCCAACTCAGCCCTGCGGGCTTCAGCAGCTCGCAGCTGCATATCCAGATCCATGCCCTGTTGACAAAACACACATTAAGAACATTTTAATAAACTCTAATAGCACTACTGTACAATCTCAAATATGTGATTATGACAAGTTTTAGCTCGGATATATCTATGATATGATCTGTTTGTACAAGCTTTCAGAGCACGTAAATGTTTTTTCTGAATCTTATCCTGTTGGATTATCCAAATAAATGTTCTTTTTTGGAAACTTATGGAACACCTTCTACTTGAATGATTTTTTGGATATCTTCCAGAGCATGCCAAAACTATATTACTATAATTTTTCCCACCAAATCAATGCGTCACATAACCCATTCGGTTTTTTTCATTTGAATTATACAACAGAAGCCTGGTATTCGCATTATTGAAATCTCTACAATTCCCCAATCTTTTATAAGCCTTGCTACATGTTTAGTTGTGAATTATCGGTGTTATATATAGGGTGACTTCAAAGTTGAGTCATTTATTTTAACAGTGAGTAGATCTGATCAAAAGAAATGTTTTTTTCCTTTAACATTTTTGTGGTAAAATTAAAGTAACAAAGTTATAGCCCTTTAGAAGTTTGAGTACCGCCCTGTCTCAATAATAATATTATGTGCTCGTGTTTGGCAACAACCGATATATTCCGCCTTATCGGTTCATCGCATCGGAAACAAAAAAGCGAAAGAATTTGAAACGCTTATCACGATGTTTTTACTACAATTTTATTCAGTTGTTTTCAGTCAATGTGTCAGTCGGTAACGCGTGAGTGAATAGTGGTGTTTGTTGCGTGGCTCAAACGAAATAAAAAATGGCACATGTTTACGAAAATGCTGAACTTGTGGGCATGAATCAGGTGACTTAAGACCTAACAGGGGAGGGCATGCCGGTGCTCCAAGACCGCACGATCAAATACAGTTCCGCACTGAAATACTTGTCGGGAGGATACTTTATAAAACAAGGTAACATTTTTTTTTATTTTTTTTTTTTATTTTTACACACATATTTTGGTTTATCTCCCTTCTATAATCATTATCTGAAAATTAATGACTCAACTTCAAAGTCGCCCTGTATAAATCTGATTGGAACAACTTTGCGTGTACCGTAATAGACATAGCGTAACATATATCGACATTGAGGTACGACGACACTATTAATTCAAATTGTCTTAGTCGTTTTGCAATGTACGACAGTCATCGATGGTCTCAATTTTACAAAAGATTTTCAAGTCATCTGCATAGAGGAGACAGCTACTGTGTAGCTCCCTAACGACATGCTACGCGCCGCAGTCACTTGACCTTCTTACTTCTCATGCCTACTGGTGAAAACGCGAAAAATTTCTGAAATAAACGGTTTTGTTTTTTGAATGTTATATGATATCACGAAAGACCATATATCACTCATCGCTGTCGGTCAGTAGATCTATCCGTCTGTCGGTTTGTCGATCTGTCCGTTAATCCATGGACCGCCTATAACTTGGAAAGTGCTACTAGTATACAAGGACGAAAAATCCTTGTAGTTCCTGAAAATCGGTCCAGTGGTGGCGGATACAAATGCTTAGTATATGTCTATACTCTCAGCACCGTTGATTTTATGCACCAGACATATTTCAGGCATCGAATGCGGTGGATCTTGGGCTTATTTATCGATTCGAGAAGGCAAGCATAGTCGAGACATACGAGGTGAGCGCGATATTATCTATATATACATGTATACACACACACACACAGACCTACACACACACATATATATATATATATATTAGGATATTATTTGCATATAATATGAGCTTTTATCAAGAGCTATTACAATCAGTTGTCAAACATTGCTGGCAAGAAGTTTTACACCAGAGCTCCAAAGCGATGCTGCTTCCGTGTGTGATTCTGGTTCTGACAAAACCTGCGTTTTTCTGGTGTCATTAGACAAAATGGAAAATTGTAGCGGAAGTTTTTTCGTAGGAGTAGTATGGAGTCCATTTACTCGACCCCATTTGTTGTTTACTAATGGTTTGATAACTGTAGTTATTATTAATTACTTTGCTACCACACGTATAATCTAAAGAACTACCGTCAAAATTTCGTCAAAAAATCCTTTAGTGCTTTGACAATAACAAACGAAATAAAGGACGAGAAACAACAAAATGATATATAAAGAACTAATAGAAATGAAATAACATCATTTTCCTTCATTTGTTTTTTATGCATATTTCATAAAATACGCACAAGATAACCCACATTCAGATTTTTGGCGAATTCGTGATTCATCTAAAGGCATGGAAACTTTGGATCTTATTGAAGAAATTAATGCGTAGTTATGATTATGCAGACTCCCACTGCCTAACAGATATTACATAAATTAAGCTCAAGCAGTAAAGTGCATCACGTTCACCGCAATAGCGAGCATAGCGACGATTATGAGAGAAATTTGGTGCTTCTATCTAATGAAACTTTTGTTCATCACTGCGATGTATACAGCAATAAACAGCTAATTGCTTGAATAATAGCCTTTGTGACGTAAGCAGGGCTGATGAAAAGCATACGTTCCACCACAGTGTTTTGATATTGCATACGTTAATTGTCACCACGTAAACAAATCGTTGATGATAGCATTTAGTCCAGAGGAAACTTTTAAGCCACAATTTGAACAGAAGGCTAAATTGGATGAATTCTTTACGGAGTTCAGTGGTAAGCTATTCTGTTCTTTGGTGATATGGAGGACATGTCTTCTGGAATAATTTTCAATTACCCAGAGTGCAATACTTAAATTTCGTCATAGATTAGCTTACAAGTGCAACAGAGTAATTAATGTCTTATCTTGCAACCTCGATCGTTGGGTAATTAGAAAAGCATCTTACTTATACCCGATAGTCGGACTCACATCTTGTGATTTTTTTGCTTGTGAAATTAATAATATACACAACTCCGAAAGCAAATGTAGCATCAAAAGCATTGTATGTAAAATATGTATTTAAAGACACCCAACAGTCTGTGGGAAGAATGGAGAGGTGAATTCGTTGGACGAGTTGAAGATGCCCTCATTTATGTATGCCCGGCTCGGTCTCCAGACTTGAACCCCAAGTTATTTTCTATAGAGTGTTCTAAAATTATTAGTATACACAACTCTGGTGGAAAATGGGGAAGTTCTGAAAAACTGCTGAATTTAATCCAATAAGGAATGACCCTGGTCTGTCTGAAAGGGTACGGCACTGTATTTAATAAATATCAATTTAAGCAGATCCTGCAAATTGACACTGAAAAACCTTGCATGCGATTTTCCGAAACTCTTTAAAGGAAAAAATTGTCACCATTCCGAAGAAACATCCCTTTATGTGTCTTCTCACGGTTTTTGTTAGGTCACAGTAAAACTTAGGAATTACTCTCATAAATCTCCTTCACAGGTACATATACAGGTGATTCATAAGTCGTGACCAAAAATGAAACATCATACACAGGACTGCATTTCAATGAGGGTCTTCGATGTAACTGTTTTTCCTTGAGGGCTTCATTGAAAAGATACGGGGTGTTGAAGTTTAAAAATAAAAAAACATTTTTTTTAATATCTTCAAATCCGTCAACTGGAATGAACTAAAATTTGGTATAAGGATTTACCTAAGTATTGTCCACATGCAAAATTCCTTACTAAAAATTAACGTGCACCAGTTACGGAGATACAGCGGATTAGTGGCATTATTTTTCCACATAAAAATAGTACGCCACTGTTTTTTTTTTGAAACGTGCAATTCTTCGAATTTTACCTTCAATTTGATACAAATAATTACATTTGTGTTTTTTCTAGAGTGCATTGTTTTCGTAAAAATAAACAAAAATCTAGATAAAGCTTTACGAGTATTTCAATAAATGTTCAAAAATATCACCGTTCTGACGGATACAAGTGCGACATCTTTTTAATAGAGAAAATCGTATTTTTGCAAGATTTGTCGGGGCTTGAATTTAATGAAACGTATTATCTATCATTTCTTGTAACTCATCAACGGAATTAATTTGTTCAGGAGACCTCAGAGACCAATGTACAGATCCGTTTCTGTCAATCCATCGTTGTCTAAAATGATTATTTAACCATCCGGTTATGTCACGACGAACATGCGGTGGGGCACCGTCGTGCTGATACCACATTCGTACTCCTGTTGCTAGAAAAGCCAAGTATGAGTTTGCATTTAAACGTTGTTGCACTACGTGCATAAACAGTGAGCCATTGAAAACCTAGACTTTTTGTTATGGTCAAAATATTTAAAATATTTGTTGAAGGCATTATGAGTTGGTCACAACATGGACCGAGCTTTCACATGCTTAAAGACATCTAACAAGGGCACCATCTTGATGATTTATTTTGCGTTGAGACTTTGCGTAATAATTGGTAATTAGGCTATTCACCCCTTAGAATGATAACACGCAAAGCTCAATCAATTCGGAGAAAATACGTTTAAGAATTCAAACTCAACTTATATATCTACTAGTAAGGTTTTTTGAGTGTTATCTGTAAAATAGCCTACTTGGTAATATGTTTCCATGCATCGTTGGTGCTCAGAATTCGAATCCACGACTAGGTTTATTTTTTTTTTATTTTATTCATTAATTAAATTGTTTTTACAATTAAATAAATCGCAATTTAATGGTACCGATAACTTGAATGAAAATATTTTTAGTTAAGTTTTACATTATTTGATAAAAAACGTCAAAAAAATGTATCTCACATATCACATACAGAGAATGCTTCCATAAAATACGGGACCGATATGATAACAGATTTTGATTACAATACGAGGGATGTCTTTTAAGTTTTGCATATAGAAACATAGTAGGCCGCGCGGATCGGACGTCAGTACTGAATCTTAACCTCACTCTTTAGTGAATTTAACTTCAAAGTTTCACAACAATACGTGCAGTGTTCTCACTACAGTGACTTTTTAAGTGTCACTAAGTCATTAGAAAAATGGAACTCAACCGAGAACATTTTCGTGCCATTTATTACAACCTTCAGAGACAATTATCGCAACAAGAATGCCTTGCTGAGCAACTGTCTGTTTTCGGCAACGAAGCGCCACATCAGTCGACAATTTCCCATTGGTATGGAGAATTCAAACGTGGATGGGTGAGTCTTAGCGACGATCCCAGGGTGGGTGCACCAAAAACGGCAGTCACCCAGGAAAACATCGATGCTGTGCGCAAACACATCATTGAAGATAGATATGTGACATAT